TCTCTCTCTCTCTCTCTCTCTCTCTCTCTCTCTTTTTTTCTTTCTTTCTTTGCTGTTTTCTCACTTTTTCCTGCACCCGTTTCTTTGTTTGCTTTCTTTTTTATTTTCGTTTCTTTTTCTTTCGTTTTTTTTTCCTTCCGTTTTTTGTTAGTTTTCTCATTTTCTTGCTTTGCCTGGTCCCTGGGTAGCTACCGCAGCGCCGCTGTCGCGTATTTGTTTTACAAGCAGGGAAAGGTGCTGGTGGTATAAAAATCCCGACCTACCTGTCAATCAATACAAATGGCGGGCCCAGTTGCAGTAGGGCCTTTTATGGCAAAATAGCTAAAATTTGCTGGGGCTGCATACCCTGTCTACGGGCCTGTCTCCACCACGCATTACTGCACATGCATTTGGATGCTTTCAGGAGGTTCATTCAGACGAGTCAAAAAATATGAATGAACTGTGTCGAGGAAGAGTCCAAATGCGATTGCAGTATTATCCTCACGTTTCCAGCCCCTACATCCTGACTGCAATAAAACGGCCATGTCTGACGGAATGATAGTAACTGCCCACTTTTTTTTTTTTTTTTTTTTTTTTTTTTTTGGTAGTACGGCAAGGCATAAACAGCAACGCATGAAGTCTGGAAATCGAGACCAACGTCAATGTTCAATATCAATAAAAAATTCCAGTAGCCCGTTCACTGGTCGGTGCTTTCTCATGGGCACCACTCTATACTGCATCAGGCGGGCCCGTCGATGCAAATTGAGATGTGCGGTTCTCGTCTGTCACCCCCAGCCGCAAGTGATCGAAAACGTCAACCACGAAGTAGAATAGCTCGCTAGCGGGTCCAGGCCCCAGGGAAAGTGGCAAAACCAAGCAAAAGGTTTTTTTTTTTTTTTTTTGTTCCTTTCAATTTCCCCTCAAGGTGATGGCTGCGCCACACTCTGCCACAGTGCAATACAATACAGAGGCAACTTGAACGTTGGAAGGATCGAGCAAGCGAGCTTACCTGTTGGACCCCTCCATGGCCCTAAAACAATAATTTACCATTGTTGTGGTCCAATGGACCACATATCAGATATTAAACCGATCAGAACAAATACTACGCTTAGGGGCTCGCAGCACTACTCTAGATTAGATCTTTTTCTTGAGTGCGGCATGGCTGCACTTACAAAGAAATGGGCGCTGGAAAACCTGTTCTAGAGCTGTCAGAATGACTCTAGAAAAGTAATAAAGTCGTCATCGCTCCACTTACTCGATAAGTTCACTCTAGCTTTTTCATTTCTTGAGCTGTCAGAGCGGGTCCGTCCTTCTCACTCTAGATTCATCTAGAGCGCCAGCCTGCAAAGGCCGTTTTTTTTAGGGAGATAGGGAGGACCCTTGAAACGCCTTGGTTTTCCTCGAGTCTAGATGGACAACCCAGGCTGGCGCTGTCCTGTAGTGAAATGGCCGTACTCAGAAAGTGACAAGCAACTCTAGCTTTTCTAGAGTCTAGAGCTACTGCGGGGATGCGTAGATTGTAGGACTACTTTTCGTGACTCTGACAGCTCTAGAACAACTCTAGAAATTTGTCACCAGTCTAGAGTAGTGCAGCCAGCCCCCTGGCCAGAAGGCCGAGAAAGGTATTGCAAAGGGGGTATCAAATGTCAAATGTCAGCCGCCTGGGGCCGCGGGGAAGGGCATTTTGCTACCACCTACCACCTCTAGAGGTGGTAGCTAAGTCTTTTCAGAGTTCGAGAGTTTCCTGGGACCAAGTCCCACTACCAGTCTCGAGTCTCCGCAAAGCCTGAATCGGGACGTGTTTGGGGATATGTGCAGTTGAGAAAACTAAGTGCTATTTTCTGCACACGTCCACAAACAAGCCCAGTTTCGGGGTTTGAGGAAACTCAAGGCTGCTGGTGGGACTTGGCCCCTGAAAGGAAATTCGAAAAGAATTTTGTTGAAAAAAAAAAGGGTTGAAGGATTTGGCGCCATGAAAAAAAAATAAAAATAAAAGCAATTGGCGCCGTGTGACCACGCGTGGCGCCATTTTGGCACTTGCCAGAAAGTCCGGGCGGGGTGGCATTTCAGCAAAATCGGGATCGCAAAATTCGCAGATTTGGCGCGATGCACCACCGCTCTCGAAACGTGAAAAAGACACAAAATTGTGGCGGGCGCATCTGGCCATGTTCTAGCGGGAAGTTCGTTCTCATTTCGCACATTTCGAGAGCGGTGTGGCGGTGGCCCACACCACTCTCGACCGAAACGTGAAAAAGACAAAAATGTAGCGGGTGCATCTGGCCGTGTTCTTGCCAGAAGTTCGTTCTCATTTCGGCACATTTCGAGAGTGGTGTGGCGATGCCCTGAGTACGCCCTTACCTCGGCACACCTCTCCTCAGCGAATGTGAACGAGGAGACAAAACCTATGGTGGGTGTATCATTCCGTGTATCTGCCTCTGTTCTTGCGGAAGATTCATGGTCCATTTTGCAGTGATGCGAGGCCGCTTGTTGCAGTCACGAAGTTGTCATTCTAAGGGCCTGGCCACACCAGTGTCGAAACGAGAGAAGTATAACGAGCGCATCTTCCCTGGATAGCGATCAGATGCACCTGTTACTATTCATAGTAATTCATGCATCAGGCCATTAGTTGCGGGTACATGCAGTCGTACTTTTTTTTTCGTTTCGACAGTGGTGTGGCCAGGCCCTAATTCTAACATCGACATCCGTCTCTTCTCTTCAGGCCGCCGATCGGATTTTTTTTTTTTTTTTTGCCGATCGGATTTGGATGGGAAAGGATGGAATTACTACGGGATATATTCTTTGATTTGATACAAAAGACCCCCTGCAGCGCACACGATGGTGTAGAGAGAGAGAGAGAGAGAGAGAGAGAGAGAGAGAGAGAGAGAGAGAGAGAGAGAGAGAGTAGAGTACGCACCACTCCCGCGGCCACGACGCAGCGATCCTGGACAAATTCCAAGTACCTCACTCTCTTTTCTTCTTCTTCTTTTCTTTAAGACCCGCACCCCTAGCACCCGGACGGGTGTTTAAAAAAAAAAAAAAAAAAAATACAACCAATCAGATTTTAAACCACCTTTTCTTCTTCTTCTTTTTTTTTTTTTTTTTTTTTTTTTTTTTTTTTTTTTTTTTTTTTTTTTTTTTTTTTAAAAGGGAAGCTATATTCTTCTCTCATCTATCTCATTTTTCTTGATAGTACGCATCTATCTCACTCTCTTGGGAACAGGGTGTGAGGAACATGTTCGCCTCTCGTTTTGTAAAATTTGTGTGTGTATATGAAATGGGCGGTCATTGGGAACGATGCGTACGAAAGATTCCTATGCCCCCTGCGAAATGAGAGAGAGAGAGAGAGAGAGAGAGAGAGAGAGAGAGGATTGAGAAACGATATCGAGTGCGTGCGTGCAATTGCGACATGTATAGGGAATAGTAGCGGGAGAAATTACCGGATAAATTATTTTTTTCTGTGTGTATTTATCCTGGGGAGCAAACATATGCAGACCCCGTTGAGCCACGTGGTAATCGGGTACGGGTGTAGCGCGTGCGGTTCGGCGGGCCGGTCGCTGTATCAGTTCGAAAATGCTGGTCCGACTGATTTCCTCCTGCAAGAAGACACTGTTCTATTGGCCTTAACCTGACCATATACGTCCATTTTGACTCTCTCTCTTTATCTCTCTCTCTCTCTCTCGTACACACACACACAGTAGCGGGCACTCTCTTTCTCTCTCTCTCTATCTTTGTCTTGCTGGCTGTGGGCCATTCTGCGAAATCCGGGGTCACGTTGGCCAAAGGAGTGGGATCACGTGAGAGCGGAAATGTGGGGGCGCGGAGGGGCGAGGAGTTTTTGTGCTCCACTGCCCCAGGGAAGGGGACGGTAGTGGACGTGGAGTGTAACCGACTACGCGGTAGATAGGGAGGGGCGTGAGAGAGAGAGAGAGAGAGAGAGAGAGAGAGGANNNGGGGGGCAGGTCAAGTCATGAAAGGCCGAGGTCGCGGCTGAGGTTCGTTTAGCAGGGAGCAGCAGTTAAGGCAGGGGAGCAGCGGCAGCAGTTAAAAAGCGACGCTTGGGCGACGTAGGTTTATTTCAGTTTCAGGTTTTCTGGGCAGCAAGAAAAAAGCGAGGCTTATTATTTTCCCGTGCGGTTTCGTTGCGCGTGTGCTCTTGCCGGGTTTCATCCCACGCACGTGTGTTCGAATCCCTTGCGTTAGCGAAATGCTTACGCTGATTGCCTCCTTGATGAAGGCGGAAGATTGACGAATCAACCCAACGGTTGATTGAAGAAGAAGAAGAAGAAGAAGAAAGGAGGAGGAGGAGAAGAAGAAAGGAGGAGGAGGAGGGGAAGAAGAAAGACGAAATGTGTGGAACTATGCTACGACAGCCAAAGCTGCACAGTTGCTTAAGCCCTCCGCCCGCTCACTTCGTCCGCTTCGTCCCTTTCACTTAGACGCTGGTCGCCTCTTGCGCGCCACTCTCTCTCTCTCTCTCTTTCTCTCTCTCTCTCTCTCTCTCTCTCTCTCTCTCTCTCTCTCTCTCTCTCTCTCTCTCAATCTCTCTCACTCTCTCTCACTCTCTCTCTTTTGTTAGGCATATTGAGCGCAGTGTCGTTCATGGAGTGATAGTCATTCTGAGTCAGGCCGCGTGGCCTCTCGTCTGCAGTCAAAATTCGTCGACGCTGCAATCCGGGTACTCTATCAAGAGAGAGGACAATTGAGGCACGTGTTGCCACTCCTCTGCCACTCCTCTTTTCTCTCTCTTTTTCTCTTCCTCCCGATCCCTCCCTCCCTCCCTTTCTCTGTCTGTCTGTCTGTCTGGCTCTCTTGTTAACACGGGCACACTCTCTTGCTGCTGCTGCGTAGGAGTAGTAATCGAATGGACGCGTGGTCCCCACGGGACGGACGAAGAGGTGTCATCAACGGTTCGATGATTCGCGTGAAGAAGACGACAGCTGCTTCTGGATTTGCGAAAACCTGTCCTCTTCATTATTTTAGTAATTTTAATTTCAATTTCAATTTTAATTCCGTCTCACGAAGAAATTCTCTGCCCTCACGTCACGGCTGTTTCTCTCAAAGCGTTGTCCTGTGCCGAACGGCGGCCGCAGCTTCGCCGCGGGAAATCAGTTTTTTCGCTGGCGTGCTCTGAACCGGGATACCGACCCATCACTCAACATCTTCTTCTTCTCCTTTTCCACCTGTCATCATCTCTCTCCGTCTACGCCTCTCATCATCTTATCTTTTATCGTCACCACGTGTCATCTGTTTGTTGTCTCTCTTCCTCTCTTCCTCTCTCTCTCTCTCTCTCTCTCTCTCTCTCCCCCCTGCTTTATCATCACCTAACCGCCTTTGTGATACCCATTCATCCGAGCGTTTGGTGATTTCGAAGCCAGTCTGTGCGTATAGCGCGACTAACTTCCCGCCAAGAAGGTGAAGAAGTAGCGTGGCATTTTCCCGCCAAGAACAAGCGAAATTGGACTGGAGTTTTCCCGCCAAGAACAAGCGAAATTGGAGTGGAATTTTCCCGCCAAGAACAAGCGAAATTGGAGTGGAATTTTCCCCCCAAGACAAGAACAAGCGAAATTGGAGTGGAAATTTCCCGCCAAGACAAGAACAAGCGAAATTGGAGTCGAATTTTCCCGCTATGCTAAGAAGAAGCGAAATTGGAGTCGAAATTTCCCGCTAAGAAGCAAGAGAACAAGAAAGAAGAAGTAGAAGAGAAACGATTAGGCAAGAAAGAAGCAAACCGAGAGGGGAGAAGACGAAAATTCCAAGTAGGGGCCGAAAGGACAAAACATTGTTGGTGGGGGATAGGTAGGGTCTCGCACACAGACATACCCTCCGTCGCCTACTCTACTACGTAGTGGTCACTCTTCGTTTTCCCGGTACGTGGCGCTTCTCTTGTTCCTTCTTCGTCAGCTGCCTTTAGTCAGGTCCTGCTTGTATTCCCATTTGCCTCCACCGCCTCATCTCCTCCTCTTTTTCATTCTCTGTCCTCAGCCTCCTCCTCCTCCTCCTCCTCCTCCTCCTCCTCTCTCTGTGTCTTCATTCCTCTCGTCTTGTCTTTTTGTCTATGCACATACTGTATTTTTTCCTCCCTTTCTCCCACCGTTTCAAAAAAGTTCGCTTTCCACCTCCCCCCCTAATTCATCGCCGTTCGCGCTCTGCTCTCATCTCTCATCTTGCCGTTTCCTAATTTGTCAATATCGCTTTCTTTTCCTCTCTCTCTCTCTCTCTCTCTTTCTCTCTCTCTCTCGCTCCCCGGTTTCTGTCTCTCTCTTTCTCTCTTTTTGTTATAAATGAAGTATATATAATTAAGTATATATTTTGTGATTTGACGTCGTATGAGTGCTATGGTGATCGGGGAATCGAGACTCGGCGGACCAAAGGCAATATAGACTAGATATCTAGGGAGGGGAGGGAGGGGGAGGGGGTGCTCGTTAACAGAGGAGGTGCATAATTTGACCGTTTGGTTCCGTTAAGCAAAAGGACCGACCATATTTGTGAGCGCCTGCCAATCCATTCAATCGACCAAGCAGTCCGTGAGAGGACGTCGAAAGGGGTGTGGAGAAAAGAGAAAAGGTGGGGGGGGGCCGGGGGGGTGGAAGGGGGGTGTCGTTATCGTCCACGCAGACAGCTCTGCTATCATACGTGGCGCTGTGCTACCGATCAGTCACTCGCTAACTTCCAATCAATCAATCAATCCATTAATCAATCAATCAATCAATCCGTTAATCAATCGATCAATCAGTCAATCATGACGTCGTGGGGTGGGGACCACTTTTGCGTTTGACGGATATAGAGCTGGTCATTATCGTTCTGTGAATCTCTCCGTTTGCTCTCTCGACAGACCGTTGCGTTCCGTTTGGACTTGCAAGAGGCGGCCTCGTTTGGAGGGAAGGGAGGCAAACGGCGGTGATCTCGACATTCCGTTTCTTTCCGTTTGGAAGAACGGGGGTGGGGTTTGCAAGAAATTCACGTTCCGTTCCGTTCCGTTCCGTTTGCTGGCGAACCGTGTTTGTTTCTTCGACAGTCCGCTCAGTTCCGTTTCGAAGAAAGGGGGCGTTTTGAGTCCGTCCACATTCCGTTTCCGTTCCGTTCCGTTTTCTGCGAATCGTGTGCGACGCAGAGAAGAGAGAAACTGTGGCGGCGGCGGCGGCGGCAAGCGTGTGCGACGCGGTGAGAAAAAGCTTTGGGGACGGCGAGCGGCGAGAGCGTGTGGTATACGTTCAGATTGTTGAAGGGTTACCTCCTTGAACGTCACATCTGTCTGCCTGCGAGGGGTGCGATAGAGGGGTGGAGATCTCAAGGCAGAGGTGCGTTTGAGTGGGTGTTGAGAGAGTTGGGAGAGGGAGAGAGTAGTGAGACGGGTGGTGAGACGTCCAGCCCCGCAAAGCGGGTGTGGAGTATTGAGAGAGGGGTAAGGAGAGAGTAGGTAGGGGGAGGGAGTTGAGGAGTCGAGGCCGGGGGGGTAGAAGGGTGGGGAAGAGGGAGAAAGAGGAGAAAGACGCAAGACGCCGGGGAGGGTGGTTGATTGGTTGATTGATTGTGTAGCGGTCAGGTCGCAGGTCAGTATGTGTCAGAGACCTGCTCTGTATCCGGCTGAAATTGCAGCCACGGCGTTGACGCAGAGGGTGGGAGGCGTCGCCGTTAGAGCTGCTGGCGCCGCCTTGAGGTCTCCGTTATTTGCTAACGAATGCGTAAACGGGAATGGAACTTTGGGAATCACCGGGCAAACGACGTCGACCTCGCTAACGTCCGCCTCGTATGGTGATGGAGTGTCGGCGGGAGGGGGAGGAGGAGGGGGAGGAGGGGGAGGAGTATCAGGAGCGGGCGAGTATTACTATGAAGGATATGGAAGGAAGGAAGACACTGCAGGGAGGGGACGCCGACGCGCCGCCACGTGGGGAGCGGAGAATGCAGATGCATTGATTAGAGGTCTGGAGAGGAGGTTCGTGGAAGAAGTAGGAGCGGGTTTTGTGTCGTCTTCTGCGGAATGGAGCGGATTGGCGGCGCTGAGGGAATTGCTGCAAGCTCCGGCGGAGATTACGACGGCGGCGGCGGCGGCGGCGGCGGTGTCGGGCCCGGAGGTTGGTGGGGGAAGCGGCGGAGGCGGCGGCGCAAATGAGCGGGGGGCGGGAGGTGCAGTCGACGAAGCAGCTGGCGGCGGCGGCGGAGGAGATAACGAGGGTCCCGGGCGCAGCCTGCGCCGCGCGAGCGGTCGGGGCTGCGGCGGCGGCGGCGGCGCCGCCGCCGGCGGTGACGCTACTACTACTGCTGCTGCTGCTGTGGAGCCCGCCGCTGCTGCTGCTGTCGACTACCGTCCATCTTGTTCTCCTCCTCCCATTGGCAATCGCAATCCCGACCTGCTGGGTCGGGATTGCGGCACCGCTGCTACAGTAACGGGTGCGTCGCATGGGGCGCTCTCGTCGCCGTTGATGTCTCACAGCGCGGAGAGCGGAGATCGAGAAGTGGAAAGGGGGGGATCGGCGATGGCTATGGAGGTCGGAGAGAGAAGAGAGAGAGAGGTGATCTGCGCTGACGTGGAAGGATCATTGCAGGAGATTGGAAGAACGACTGCCGGAGGCTTGCCGTCATTTTCAAAGTGAGTAAAAAAAATGAAATCGACGTTATTCCGGTCTGTTTTTTTTTTTTAATTTTAATTTTAAATTCCGGTGTTTATCCTTATTTTTCTGTGTTTTTGTTTTTCTTTTGTTGTTGGTTTTGTCAAATGACCGTTTTTTTTGCTTGGTTGCTTGCTCCTCCTTTTTTTTTTTTTTTTTTTTCGTTTGGGTAAACCGACTTAGGAGCGGGAGTCCAGGGGCCAAGTCCCACTAGCAGCGTTGAGCTACCTTAACGCGTGAATCTGGACATGTTTGTGGAGACGTGCAGTTCAGGAAACTCAATACCATTTCTGCACATCTCCGCAAAAGCCTCCAGATGCAGGCGTTGAGGTAGCTCAACGCTGCTAGTGGGACTTGGCCCCAGGGAGGGAGGGGAAATAGGTGAGAACCTTGTTGTGGAGTAATTTCTGGTCTTTGACATCTCTTGTTATTGTTTTTTTTTTTTTTTTTTCCTTTTATTTTGTGGGGGAAAAAAAGAAAAGTAGGAAATTTTGTTCTTCTTCTTCTTTTTTTTTTTTTTTTTTTTTTGTAGTTGATAAAATTCGTGCTCGGCTTCGTTGCGTTGTATTCGTGGTCATGAAATTTTTTGCCTTTTTTTTCTTTTTTTTTTTCCCCTTCTTGTTTTGCGTTTGCAGTCCCGTCTACCTTTGTTAATCAGTGGCGAGGTCCCATTAGCAAAGAGGATTGGATTGAGCTCCTGAATCTGGACGTGTTGTGAGCAGAGATGCAGAAAAGCAGTTCAATCTCGAAAACTTCTGCACCTCTGAGCGAACAGGTCTAGATTCAGGCGTTCAATCCAATCCTTGTTGCTAGTGGGACCTCGCCCCAGGCCTCGGTCCACACCACTCTGCTGCACGTGCAGAAACGCCCAAAAATATCTCGGTGTATCTTTCCATTTTCTAGCGGAAGATTCATTCTCCTTTTCTGGCACGTTTGGTGAGCAGTGGAGCGAGGCCAATCGTTTCTCTGGTCGAACGTTGAACTGCTCAGCCATGCACATGGCTGGCGGTATTTTTTGTTGTCACCCCATGTTTTGTTTGTCATTAGGCCTCGCGCTGCACTACTAAAAAAATGTGCAGAATGAGAATGAATCTTTCGCTAGAACGTGGAAAGATGCATGGCCATATATATATATTTTTTGCATGTGGTGAGTAGTAGTGGAGGGAGCGAGGCCCATTGTTTGCTAGTAGATATATGTATATATTTACACCTCTGCATATTTGTTTTGTGAATTTAACTGAATTACTTCTGGTCGCGCGTAATTAAAAAAAAAATTATGGATACGCTTTTTGTTTTTGCTCCTATTCTCGTGCTGTTATTATTGTTATTACTACTTTTATTATTTTCAATAATGGTATTTGCATAAATATGAAATATAATAATAGTATATAATATAGTATGTAGACATTTAGGTCCCTAATAAGTCGGTGAAACTCCGACAAAGTCCTTCGGGACGTCCGTTAAAATTTGAACGATACAGAGAAGGTAAATCAGCAAAATGGCCCTGTGCAATTCAGGATGACATGCATAAATCGAGAAATGGTCCAAATCAAATTTACAAAAAAAAAAAAAAAAGAAACTCCGACGAAACAGTCTTCAAATTTACCGCCACGTGGTGCCACGTGGCGCCACGTTGTGCTACGTGGCGCTACTTGGTGTGCGACTTGCCTGCCCCGTAAAGTCATGATGGAGCTCCGTCCCGTTCCCTCGTTTTTTCTTTCTTCTTTTTTTAATATTTTCCAATCTGTGGTTTGGCTTAGGAAAAAGAAAAAAAAAAAAAAAAAGGTACGCCGTACATGAACGACGTCCAGCTCGGTAGCAGCGCTGGACCGCCAGTCGCTACGGTCCCAGCGGGGCCCAGCGGGTGGCCCCAGTGGCCATAAAGAAATGGCCCCAAGCGGGTGCCGCCAGCGGGAGATGGTCTAAACCCGTCTGATCTGTCCTTGGGGACATCCCCGTTAAAATTGGAACGATACAGAGAAAGAGAAGATTAGCAGCATGGCCCCTGCGCTTTCAAGGATGACACGCAAAAATCGAGAAATGGTCCAAAAAAAAAAATCGTCTGATCATCAACTTCTTTATTAAAAAACGAAAGAGGAAAAGAGAAATCGTTTGATTGGCTATTTGATTGGATTGGCAAAGCTGGCGGGCGCACGTCGGTCTCTTCAGGGCGTACTCGCATTACTAGCGTTTTGCGAAATGCATCTGGACGAAATTACGGCCAGACCTCGATGAACCTGACCGCAATCACGTCCAGAGCGTTGTAGTACAACGTTCTAGTGTGAGTATGCGAACTGCCATTTCGAGGGCAGGGTTGACCATGGAAGCAGTTTCAATTGGCCGCTCTTGCGGCCGACACATTCGTTGGTTACTCAGTTGAGAGAGAGAGAGAGAGAGAGAGAGGGGAGGACGTGACATGCATAACCGCCCTACCTCGTCGACAGTGCCTCGTGTATCCGCCGTCCCTACCTCAACAGGCACCCTCCATCTCCCAATCTTTCTCTCTCTCTCTCTCTGTCTGATTCTCTCGTCACTTTCGCCACTCTTTCTCTCTCTCTCTCTCTCTCTCTCTCTCTCCCCTTCTCTCTCTCCCCCTCGTCTTCCAATCTTTCTCTTCTCTCTCTCTCTCTCTCTCTCTCCCTCATCTTCCAATCTCTCTTTCTCTTCTCTCTCTCTCTCTCTCAGATGGTGTAAAGGTCGCGGTTTCGAATCGTGTATGCCAGCTTAGCTATATGCGATAGACCTTGTTCGAAAACTTGCTCTGCAATGAAAAGACAAGAATGAGAAAAAAAGAAAGAACTTGGTTTATTTTATGGTACTGATTATCTTTAGAATGTATGGTCGCCTGCTTTAGAGCCCGGGTTAATGGAAAAGGTCACCTGGGAGAGTGTGGAGACGCTTCAGCAAAGGGGGATTCGATTGAAAGCCATGAATCTGGACGTGTTTGTCGACACGGGCAGAACATCGTGATTGATCTGCTTTTCTGCTTCTCGTAATAAAACGCGTCCAGATTCAGGTGCTTAATCCAATCCTCTTTGCTAGTGGTGTGTGCAGACCTTGTACCTGCTCTTTCCCCTTTTTTTTTTTTTTTCCTTTTTTTTTCTGTTTTTTTGTTGTTGCAATCTACTGTGTGTTTGTCGAGTCGTCAACTGCACCGTACGAGCATAAGCACACTATAACTTTTTTTCTTTTTCTTTTTTTTTAGGTCAGATATGTCGATTACGAAAATATTTCGAGGCCGGCGTCGGAAGAATACCTGCCTGGAGGACTTACCCAGTTTCGCTTACAGGGAACACTGTCCAACTCTGCATGTAAAAAAGAATTGTGGTCAGATATATCGAGGCGAAGATGGAATTCCGGTCATGTACATCCAGGAAAGTCCTAGTGTGCCGTAATTGCGAGGCATACGTTTTACGAGGAATCGATCTAGTAGGCTGTGGACGTGATTGCAGTCAGATTCATCCCCCTCTGGCCGTAATTGCGGTCAGATTCATCATCTCAAGCCTGGTCAATCCAGACAAAAAGATCAAATAGTTGAAATAAAGGGAAAAAGAAAGAACAGACTTCTCTTCAATGCTTCTGTCTCCAGGCAAAAAAAAAAAAAAGAGGGTCAGGAAAAGAAAAGAGGGTCAGGAAAAAAGAAAAGAAAAAAAACGAGGGTTCTTTATTCCTAGGCAAAAAGAAAAGAAGAAAAGAAAGAAGTTAGCTGCCGTCAACGATCCGCGTGTTAAAAAAAAAGAACAAAAAAAAAAAGGATCCGCGTGGAGCCTAGTGCGGAGGAGGAAGGAAGAATGGGGAATCTTTTTTTTTTTCCTTCTTGGATTCGAACTGACCCAAGCCCCCGTTGGAGCAGGTGGTGGTACACCCATGGGGCCTCGCTGCAGTACTCTCGACATGCACAAAAGACAACAATCATGGCCGCGCATCTTTCCATATTCTAGCGGAAGATTCACTCTCGTTTGGCACATTTCGAGAGTAGTGCAGCGAGGCCCATGGACTGTGTTTGCATTTCAACACCAACAGTCCATGGGTGTACCAACTGGTCCAAGCACCCGTTTTTTTTTTTTTTTTTTTTTTTTTTTTTTTTTTTTTTGACAACCCATTGGTTTTTGCCATTTAGAGCTGCCGTAATCCCCCGAATAGAACGAACGGTCATTATGGTTATATTTGGAGCAACTTTCAGTCCGCATAAAGCGATAATCACAGGACGTTCTATTCGGGTTGAAGTCCGGAGTGCGGAGGGGGAGGGGAGTATGGGCAATCCTTTTTTTTTCCTTTCTTTGTTTTTCCTAAACGTCTTGGAATCTCTTTTTTTTTTTTTTTCCTAAACGTCTTGGAATCTTTTTTTTTTTTTTTTTTTTTATAAAGCTCTCTTCTCCTCATCTGGGGACAGCTATATATGTATAATGCTAAAACTTCTGTGGACATAACTCGCCCGACCATGTATACGGTCAAATACGGCTGAAACAGCAGATCAACAGAATAAAATAATTCTTCGTTACCTGGGGCTGATCATTGCAATGATAATATATTGGAACCACAACACCCTCTTTCAAAACGAAACGAGTGAGTGCATCTGCCCACGAAAGATGGCGAAATACAGTCGTTACTATTTAACAGTCGTTACTATTTATAGCAAAGCGATGAACCTGGCCGTTTTTCCGTGGGAAGATGCACTCGGTCCGTGTGGCGATGCCCAAAGTCACGTGACACTATGGTCCAATTGCTTTTCCGTCCTGTTTTGGTGTTTTTTTTTTTTTTTTTTTTGCCTTTTCTTTCTGTTTTATTTCTGGATCTGACCGCAATTGTAGTCACATTCAGTGCTTCCTGGTCGCAGCGGGTTGCAGTATTTATTGCACGACGCTCGAAATGTATCGGGATCTGGGTCCAAGTCCCACTAGCAGCGTTGAGTTTCCTCAACGCCTGAATCTGGACTTCTTTGTGGAGATGTGCGGTTGAAGCAACTCAACACGATTGTCTG